AACTCCAGATGCACAGTCAACAAACAATAACGACCTTAGTGGCCACAACTGCCACAACAAACGACATTCCAACTTTAAACGAACCGGAAATGCGAGCCGCAATGGCGTCATTAATCATGAGTAGGTTGGTGGTCGTTGGCCGTCATCGAGCTACGAGTAAGTTGACTTTACTCAACTCGTCCAGAGGTTTTCCTTGAGCTCGTATAGATGTTTCTGCTGTTGTTCAGTTGGAAACTTCACCTTTATTTGTTTCTCGTTACCCATGCTTTCCTTTTATGTTTATGTTTTGTTTTTTTTTTTTTGCTGTGCACCCAGAACGTGCTCAGTATTAAATTTTAATCCAGGACAGTGGCCAGGTGCAGGACAAATTGTAAGCTCAATGCTCGATGCTTGGCTAATGGCTGTTGAAATCGAAAAAAGTGGCCAGCTTTCTGACTGGCTATTTCCACAGTGCCACCAAAAAACAACTTGCCAACAGTTGAGTGGAATTGCCAAAAAGTGAAAAACAAAAGCGTTTCGGTTTTGCATTTTAATTAAAGGGTTGTCGCTTTAAACAGAAGACAAAATGGCAATTACACATTCTACAAATGTTTGCACTTTATTCTATGTTTTTTTTTTTTTAATGAATTAAGCAACAAATACGAGCAAAAAGCGAAAAATACTGATTTAGTTTCTTTTTAAAAACAGAAAACATTATATGCAGGTGTTTTTCTAAAGTCACTAAACATATACATATCTTCTTTTAGATGGTACTCAAGGCTTACTACCAAGATATACATACAAGTATACATATACAACATATACAGTTGAAGCGGAAGAACGCATTGTTTTCGCTTTTAATAAGAGCTCCATCCTTCTCGGGTGTGATTCTTAAACTTTAATTAATTTTAACATCTACTTTTGAGCCAACTGTGGAGTGGCTAATAAATTTTATTAAATGATTTATTTATTTTTATTTCGGCTTAATAATGTCTCTGACTACTTTCATTGATTTATTGCTAATTTTCTAGGTTTGTCAATAAATAAATAAATGAAACAAATAAAAATAATAAATTGCAAATGTTTACTCCTTTCATATGAAAGCATAATAAACCATTTATGTATAAATAGCTCCTGCCATGCGAGTGCTTCTTTTAAATTGCATTAAATTGCAGGTTAACAAAACATTGCCGGTTAAGGCGTTCACATTAACATAATTGAATATAAATTAAAAACTTTAAAGCAAGCCGCAGAGAATTGAACAAACCCGGTAATAGAATACGAGACTAGTTATGACCACATTATTTGCAGTCAGTTATTAGTAATACTATAAACGAACAGGCATATTTAGGCAAAAAAAAAAAAAAACTTGATTGTTTAATAGTTTAATAATTTTTGATAAGTATCTATTTAATTAAAAAACGTTGAAAAAGCTTTAAAAAAGATTTAAAAATAACCAAAATCTAAGCTATTTTCTGTCGCCACATACAATAACAATAAAAATAAAAAAAATCTCTTACATGATTAGTATCTGCAGCGTATATACCAGAACCATATACAAATATACGGACAGCGTCACAACAACAATACTTAGAGAGTCTACTAAGCAGGCTACTTGATAGCATTCGCATACCATTTAAATATATGCCTCGATTAAGCGGCTACCTATCGGATACAGTTAGTGATATATTATATGAAAGGAATACAATGTCCTTACTGAGCCGCTAAAGAATCCAAAAAGAGTCTTTCACTGCGCAAGATAAGCTGTCCTGACGTCTTCTTGCAGGACCAACTTTTGGATCAATCAAACAGCTACAAATATTTGGGCATACATTTGGACAAGCGCCTCACACTAATTGATAGAGTGAAGAAAATGAGATGGGTCCTAACCAACAAAAAACTATCACTTAGAAACAAAGCCACTGTTCGCCCGCTTGGCGATATGGCTTGCAAGTATATGGAATCGCTGCAAAATCATACCTGCAGAAAATCCGGATCCTGCAAGCGAAAACCCTTTGCCTACTAACAGGTGGTCCCTGGTACATGAAAACGGCATTTTTGTATTTTTCTATAAGTTCAATTGACAGTTGTTGTAAATAATAACAGTATAATTAAAGTTTTACAGTTATTTATATATACTTGTATAAAAAAAGTCTTTTGAAATCGTCGTTTCAACTATAAATAAAGGGACCAGTCTAATTTATGTTGCTATATGCATTAGAATGTGTACGTGTGTGTGTGTTTTTAACAAAAAATGCGCGGGTCAGTATGAATGTGTACAAGTGTTTGTTTTCATTGTTGAAAGTGCAAGTGCACTCATTCTGTGGTGCATAACGCGTTTAAGGGCCGCCATTGAATGAATGCGTAAGTGTCGCGTGCATTTGTGTGTTTGGCAGCACTTTGAGTTGTCACTAACAGTTTTTTTTTGCTGTCGCTGCGTCTGTTGTCTGTCACAAGCCGTAACTTGACGCTTTCAACAACAATGAGGGCAAGTGCTTCGCTTCGTAGTTCTTGTCAAGCATTTCCGGCGGCACTTTAAGCGCATTGCATGTCCAGCCACAAAGTTTGGTGCTCCTTTAGTTTGGTTGTTTGTATTTTGATTTGCAACTTCAAGAAGCAAAAACTTTCCCAGGAGTTTGCCAAGTAGTTGCCATAACATCAGCCGGTGGGGAAGGACACTTAACTTTGTATATACATACATATTGACTTTCGAGTTGAGTTTAACTTTAAATCGATTGCATACTTTCAGGCACCCCCAAACAAATATCAATCAAAGCGGTAATGGCAATAATAAAGTGACTTTTGATTTTGTTTAGTAGTGAGTTTTAAGTGCCAAAGCCATAGCAGTGCTTAACAACTATAAACGTGATTACTTACAGCATGTAATCAATAGCAGATGCACAATCAGTAGCCACAGGATTCAGACCCCCATAACCCACAGCACAGGCAACAAAGGGCGCAAACTTTATATTATGTACTATGTACTCGTACATCTGAAGCAGCCGGATAGCTCGCTTGCCGGTGCCCGTGCCCTGTTCTAGTTTTATTTTTCACGATGCTGCTGCTACTGCTGCCCCATAAAAAACTTTTACCATTATTTGTACATAGAACAGCTGCACATAACTGTCTTGGCTCTATCATATTTCCTTTTCGCTTGCCGCTGCTTGTTTCAGCTTGTTGAGCGTCCTGTTGTAGTATATGACTGGAGCTCATCCTTTGTTGCACCCCCACGTGTGCACCATGATATATAGACAAACATCGGAGCACTTGACGGCAGATTGCTTGTGGCTGGCTCCTGGCCAGCTATATCAATATCTAATGGAACTCTGCCAAAGCCTTCTGCCTTCAATTCGGCACAAAAAATGTATTTTTCGTGGTTTGATTGATTGAATTGATTGTTGATTGAACAATGTTGACGTAGGCATATCTATTTCTTTTCGCAAAGCGAGTTCGACGACACTGAGTACATAGCTAAGCGTTTAATTGGTAATATGAATTTATAGAGAATACAAATTATGTTTCTGCTGCATCCTTGTTGTAAATTATTTTTAATCCCTGAATTCTTATAAGAATTAACAAATTAACCAGCTGATTAGAATGCACAGAAGTTGGCACCCGATATATGCATATAGTATCACATTAACCGACTAATAACTATTCTTTCTGAAATTAGTGCACTCATTCAAATAGATCGGACAGATAAATATAACAAAAATGTGCTCGGGATCTCCTATTTGTCTGCAGATTACGAGTATTTAAATTTGTGTGTAAAGCTCAGTCATCTCAAGGATGACTCAATAATCTTGTGATTACAATCTTGTTTTCAATCAAATTTTGAAAGCGATAATCATGTAACTATTCATAATTATTGTTCGTTTACGAAGGGTACTAAAGGTATAATATTTCATGAATATAATATTACTTCAATTCTCAATTAGTTTCTAAAAACGACAATATTCTATTTTAAAGTCAACTTGTAAACAAGTGAAATTATAACAAAAAAAAAACAAGAAAGGAATGCTAAAGTCGAGCAGGCTCAACTCTTAAATACCCTGTACCACCCCACAAAAAAGAAATTAAATTAATTAACAAAATTAATTTAATTAATTAACTAAATTAATTTAATTAATTAACTAAATTAATTTAATTAATTAACTACATTAATTTAATTAATTAACTAAATTAAATATAAAATATTCCATACATGCATACATACATTTACATTTACATCAGAATCGTGCCTATGCGTGTTTGTGTACTCGTACATATGTTTGTATGTGTGCATTAGGCCTGATTATATGGCTATCACTTTCTTTCCGATCATTCTATCATAATGAAATTTGGTATACAGATATATAATCACTAACCTAATGTGACTACCAAATTTTTTTTTTTTTTTTTTTTTCAAAATTCCAAGAATTATATACTTTCTGAGATCCTTGCGTTCATACAGACAGACGGACAGACAGACGGACAGACAGACGGCCAGACGGACATGGCTATATCGACTCAGCTTGTCATCCTGATCAAGAATATATATACTTTGTGGGGTTTGCCATGCCTCCTTCTGTGTGTTACATGTACACTCGCACAAAACTAATATACCCTTTTACCCTTTGGGTACAGGGTATAAAAACGACTTCAGCTCTAGTGCAGTGAAAGTTTTTTTTTCTCATTTAAATTGACTTAATGCTTCGAGGACGTTTCTGAAGTAATAGCATCCTGTTTAGAAATATATGCAATTTGTTTAAAGTAGTTTTTTCATGAAGGCCATTTTCAGATCTAGATCAAATGAAGATGCGACCAAAATCATCATCAAGAATCATCAAATTCGGTTCTCACAGTTGCAAGTTCAGATGTTAAAATCATTAAACAAAATACAGTTATTAACAGGTCTGACCGGATTGTGCTATTATTGTGCTACGCTTGAAATATATTCTTAAACATGTTAATTGTCTATCTAATCGTAATGAAATGAGTTGTTTATTTACTTTAGCTACGCAAACAAATGTAAATAAAAGTTTGCTTGAATTGAATTCTTTATTGAGTTGTTGAACTGCATTTAAAATTAAGCCTTGGCCTGCTGGCGTTCGGCAATTAAATCCTTAATAAGTTTAACCAGCAAATCCAGTCCTTCTTGGTTGTTTTTCTGGTAGTAAGGCAGTGCTTGAAGACGCTCGACCCACTCCGTCAATTTCGGAAACTTCTCGGCATCGATGGGCGCAAAAGCAGCACCAGACGAAACCGACGCTATGGTGCAGAGATCAGCAATGGTGAGATTTTCGCCGGTCAAATACGGGCCTGCGGCCAGACAGTGTTCGAGTCCATCGTAGGCACGCTCCATGTAGCTAACTCGATCCTCGGGTATCTCTCCAACGCCCAAATAAATGATGGGCTCCACAATGAAGCGCACGCGTGGAAAGACGTGGCCGCAGTCGTAGTAGAGTCGGGCATCGACCACCCGGCGCTCTGCCGGCGACTTGGGATAGAGACGTTCGTCCAGACCGTACTTGTCGGCCAAGTACGCGGAAATCACATGAGAGTCGCTCACCACAGTGCCGTTATCATCTAACACGGGAATCGTGTGCTGTGGATTTAGTTTCAGAAATTCGGGGGTTCTGTTCTCTCCCGCTTTGACATTAACCGGACTGCGAATGTTCGAAACAGAAAGAGAGACACGCAGAGAGAGAGAGAGAGAGAGGTAGTTACTAAGAGAGCGCAGCAAGTGAGACCGGTTCTTCTAACAGCTTTAGCTTTCGCTTTTCGTTTTTGTTTTTATTCAATTATCTTCGTTGACACTCACCGCAAATCTAAGTCAACACCCAGAGCGGCGGCTGTTAGGAGAACGGCACGGGAGGGGGGACTGCGTGGGGAGTAGTAGAGAACTGGTTTGCTGGCCATTTTAGCTGCTATCTCTTTGACTTATTTCAAATGTACAGATACTTATTGCTGTTCTAATTACAAAAATGAATGTTGAAGCATACAGTTAGTAACACGCAAGAAATAAATCAATAAAATACACTTTTCATTTACGGTTACTGATGGAAAACAGTGGGCCAAGCCAACGACAACGCAACTCACAACTAACGCACTTCACGCGTGAAAGGCGACTGAACTAATTGCAGTAAAAGACTGCGATCACAATCGCAGCTTTTTTTTGGAAGCTTTGGAATGAAAAAGCTTGCCAGTTTCTGGTAAAAGCGTCGAAATATATGCATGTCATATATAATAAAACTAAGCAAATATGTATACAATAAACAAGCAAACAATTCTTTCGTTATAGAAATTTGTACATAGTATAGCATACATTTTTATATGCGATAATCGTAAGAACAACAAATGACGTCATTAGTTATTTGAATTTATATCTCTGCCTGAAAGTATGCTGCAAACTTTTATGTATTTTTTCTAACAATATTTTGAATAGTGTATTATTTTTACTTATCATTGCAAATACATATTTTCTTTTATTTTTATTTTTAAATATCAGAAATACATATACTATTGAAATCCAAACCGATCGGTACCAGAAAAGTTGTCAAAGTTGTGTACTATTTACTAATAGAAAAACAATAATACTACACCTTCGGAAAATGGATATAAATCCAATATATTTACATATAAAGAAAATAAACCTTTAATTTACATTGAATTGCTGCATTATTTTATCTAGATATATAATAAACCGTCGCGAATAGCTAAATTTAAAAAGTATATTTTTCAATAAAAAAAAAATGACACAACCCAACCTAAAATAAAGATATATACATATATATGTAGATACAAATATGTATTCCTTACAAATATCAAGCATTATAAAGGTTGGCTCAATCTACTTTTCGTAAAAAGTACTTAAGCCATTTATTTAATTTTATTATCTAAGCTTTTTGCCATCACGGTGTCCTTGTAAATATTTTAACTTTGCAGTAAAAAAGGCCTTAATTGAATTTTTGCGGTATGTGTTAAGTATCAGTTATACATACACACCCACGGGAGCATTTATATACATATATACATTTATGTTATGGCTATGAAAAAGCTTTTGCACTTAACTTATTGTCAGTTATTTTAGCCAAGTTAGGGCACATATACCTCACCAGCCAGCTTATAAGTTGGCTTCATGCCAGCAATTGCCACCCAAGGGTCGCCTTTCTTTCTAGCTGGTTGCCTGCCTGACAGCTCGAAAGTATTAGTTTACTGTTTCCCAAAATTGTTTATTCATTTTGAAATGCACATGTTAACACTCTTTGCTTCCATGCTGGCCAAGCAAAAGTTGTAATTAAATAAATCAAAAATTGATTTTGATTTGTGCGGCTTTTCTCTTTTAATATAATTAGAAAATATGTTTTATTTTTCGGCTTCAGTGTCTCATTTCAGTAAAATAATATAATAAAATAATATTTTTGTTATTAAATTGCTTGTAGTTGAAACTAAGTGACGGAACTATTTACCTATATATTATGTGGAATTTTCTTACATATACATACAAAATACATAAAAGAAACTAAACATTGACAGAAACGCAATGGTAATATTTTTGCCGTAGTTCTTGAAATGTTTTGAAATTTAATTCATTAAGTTTCTAAATTGTGCCTAATTGGGTCATCGGATGAATGTAGGTAACACATAAAAGGCAGACTGCACAAAGTATATACATATATAGTCTTGATCAGTATGACATCATGAGTCAATATGGCTATGTCTGTCTGTCCATCCATCTGTCCGTCCTATTATAGCTAGGGTAACCAAAATTGGTATTAAAATTCCTTCAATCCCTAGGTAGATCAGGTTAACGTTTATTTTTTCTGCTGAGGCTACATATAATTAATTGTAATACAGAAAGTGTGAATCAGTTTAAAAACAAACATAACGATAGAACACAGAAAAATGTTGGAAAACCCGTATTAGTTTGTTTAATCACAACTAAAACGTTTTAAACTTGTGTCTAAGTAGTATGTACGAGTATGCAGAAATAATTTGACTTTTCTTAATATGGTTATTTTGATTTATTGTTGACTGAAGGGAGAACAAAATATGCTTCTTTATTGATATAATGTAATGATTGATTGATTGATTGATTTATTGATATTGGTAATGATTTACCAATTTTGATTTTGCGCCTTAAACTGAAATTGTTTAATTTATAAATATTTTCCAATGATTTAAATCCTCCCAGTTGATTTAAGAGCAACAATTTTTTTACGAAAAACCAGTTAGTCGAAGTCATAGATAATTGTTGCAAAATTGTTTAATTTATTAATATTTTGCAATGATTTAAAGCCTCGCTGTTCATTTAAGAGCAAGTTTTTTTTTTTTTACTAAAAACCAGTTAGTGGAAGTTATAGATAATTGTTGCGAAATCTGTTACCCACTGAATTGGTAAAGCCCATTTAAATGTTGTTCACAGCTGGCAATCCTCCATGCCACGCCAACCGTCCACACGCATTTTAACATCAACAAATTAACGCATATTTAATGAAATTATATTCACGTTTTCCCAGTCCTCCCCACCACCTGCCCATTTCGTAGCGCCACTTTATCGTCCCGCCTTATGCCTGCAAGTAGCAGCTAATCCGATTTGCTCACCCACCTCTGGCACATTCCGCATCCAGCATCCCTTTCGAAGGTGTAAAACATTAATAACATTTGTGCGAAGCGCGACGTTCGTTGGGATTTTTAAGCGGATTTTGGCATTAGTTAATGGGTGCGCGAAGAGCTTTGCTGTCACCCCGAGACGCGTATTCAAATGTAAATGAAATATATAATTGCATTTTTCTTTACCTCATTGCGTGTGTCAAGTGCGCCCGTTGATTGAGGCGAGAAGACAGCCAAGAGGAAGGACGACATCAATTTCAAGTGCAGCTCCAAGTGCGACTCACGCTCCGTCGCACACCGAAAAGTCGATAATGGCTCAAAGCGCTTTCACGCCATACCCTCGAAATGCCTTTCATATTTGGTCACGCGGTCAGGGCGGTAGGTATGGCCCCACCAGAGCAGATGGTTTGGGAACTGAAATTCCAGTGTTGTTGGCACGACACTGTCGCCCAGGTATGTGTATCTCTACCTTTCTCTGCCTGTCTATCCGTCCGTCTGTCTGTCTGGGTGTCTGTCTGTGTGTCTGGCCCATAGTCGCGCTAATGGCACGCGGGCCCACTGTCAACATTGGCGCTGTTCGAAGTCAAATTTTGTGAAAGCAATTTACAGTTATTAAAGCTTTTAGTAGGATCAAAAGGAATACAAAATGCCTGTAAGTAAATAGGTATGTGTTGCTTCGAGTGCAATTGACTTTAAATTTAATATCGTTATTGAATAATTTCAACGACAAACACACACCGTACACTGGCCATTTGACATTTAATTCTATAAATAAAAAAATGAGTCACTTATTTTCATCATCAACTACAGGCAGGCATGAATCGCAATTTGTTGCACACAGCAAATATTTACATATTAAAGCCTTAAAATGTATGCAGCTGACAAAAGTTCGTTAAGTCCGGTTCTTAAAAAGCATTTTCCAAATTGAAAATGCCTTAGTACAGTGTCAAAGTTTAAAAAGTTGTCTGCAACATATCAAAAGTTTGGTTGGAATGAAAGCCAGAGGCCTAAACTCGTCAACAAATCTGATGCAAACGAAAACGAAGGAATATATTGTATTTCTATTATTATAGCAATTGAATGATAAAGAATATTTAAATTTGTGTACAACATTTTTTCAATTTCGGAAAATATCAATAATTTGATTATCAATAAATTATTGAATTAATTATTTGTGGTTTTGTTTCTTATACACATTTTTTAAGCAAAAATATGTATATAAATTATTATCAGCACCACGAAATATATTCAACAAATCTCAATTTTTTTGAAATCAAATTTTTTTACATTGGAAGTTGTTTTTTATAATTTGTTGATCCACATCCCTTTTTTTTGCCATAACTATTCATTTATTTTCACAAATGATGATTAGTTCCATTGATATTTATTGGTCTAATTAATCCTGTTACTTATTCTAGCAAAGATTTTGAAATTAAAATTGTTTTCTTTCCTTCAAGTTAACTTAAATAAAAAAACTAAAATATATAAATTTAAAAAAAATATATATATTTTCTTGCATTCTCTAAACCAGTTGGGTCTAACTCTACATACTTATGTGATTAAATAATTCTTACTATATTTTTACTATAAATAATCCGTTTGAATTTGTGAATGTAAAGTTCAAAGTACATAGTTTTAGTCGACTCTGTAGTTAAGTAAAACATATTGCAAAACACACACTAGTCTATGTGTTTCGTATTCGAGCATCAAGGGCATTCACATATATATATCGGACAACTATAAAGTGGTAAGGCGATAAAATTGTGTCGAGAAAAACTTATTTACTATTTATTGAGGTTGAAGTTAGTTCAACCGATTCAGTGTGTGACTTTGCAAAAGTGACCATTGGCTGGACATTATAAATTCAGTGAGCAATAGCTTTGAGTATTTCAGGTATAAGCGGCTTATATACAAGTTAGTATACATAGTATTTAAAATGGCAGCCAATGATAGTGCATTTTTTCAACGACATTCTTATTTCTCACGTAAAAAATGGAAAAATACATGTTTTACCATTTATTGCAACGATTAATTCAATCAATAAAAAGTACACTTTTTTGGCTTACCAAAGTTAAATTTGTGCGATTGCTTTTGGCATTAAGTCGACTTTTGTTTTCATATATTTGTGTAAAATATTAAAAAAAAAAACAATAAAGTGATATTAATAGGGAATTTATAACTGCAGATACTGATGTTCACATATTTTAGAGATTCACATTTTATCTTGTTAGCAAATGTTGGTTCTATCCCAACCAACTTCCCATTCAAAGTTGACAAAAACACAGCAACCAGATATTATTTGTTGATTTTGAAATAGTCGCATCATACATTAAGGTATTTACAAGTATCATTATGATATCTATGAATAATATAAATGCCTAAATAATTGTTTGTTTTCATTGATTGTTAACTTTGGTATCTCCTTTTATTACTCGCGTAGAGTTCGAAAATAAAATGTGCATCAAAACGCTGAATTAAACAATTCAATGTGAATAAAAAACAAA